ATATAATTTATTCCGCAACGAGTCCGCATGTTACACATGAAACCTCTGTGATTCACACAGACTGAATTTAACAGAGAACTGTTAAATTTGCCACTACGCCACTGCGCCATTACAAAGCCTTTGGGACTGACTGACGGTTAAGTCTTCATGTTTTGAGTATGTCGTAAAACTGTTTCTATTAAATTATTATGAAATCATTCACATTTCACTAATTTTTCTAATAGAACCAGTTTTTTACTATAATTGTTTTTATTGTTCCCGTTTTGTGAATTTAAAAAATTACTATTAAAATTTCACTAAAATGAATATAATTCAAGTTGTGCATACATTTCACATTTCAACAACTAAGAAGAAGCTTTTATTTACAAGGATATTATTACAAGAATATTATATTTAAGAACGAGCAACTTTCATTGATAAATGCTTAGTTGCTTAGGGCCAAGTTATGCACACAGTCAAATCACAATTGTCAATTTTATGCTGTCATTACGATTTTGGTAATGACATAAAAGAAAAAAATAATTTGGCATAAAAGAAATGTTTAAATATTTATTATAACATTGTTTGATACTCTTTCAGCAAAAAGTTAAGTTCTTATACTTTGAGGAATTAACAGGACTGAGCTCAGTAGACCCAAAAACAAATGTATAAAATTTGTTATTGAAACTACATATATAATTTACTGGAGAATAGTTTAGAATGCTAGGTAAATTCCCCACTGGTATTACAAAATTCTATATTCTCTGTCATTGTTATGCGCATTATAATTTTAGTTAAATTAGTTAATTGGTTAACGAAATAAATGAAATTCATTCAAGCTGCTTATTTTACGATTATTCTCTCAGATAGTACTAATTTATATAGCTTCAATATAGCATAAATGCTAAATGTATCTCTTCTCTTATGTTGTCTTTACAGCTTCTTAAATTTCTGAGGTTTAACAATAGTAAGAATAACACGATGGACCTATCATATTACCAGCTCGAGTGGTATTCACTGTTATTTTTTGAAGACATAAAATTATTCGTGATATTACCAGTCAGTAAATACCCGTAGTTTCATAGTATATTAGTGATCATTTAAATTAGACTTCCATTATCACAAGATCATATAATTATTATATCCTATTTCGAATAATTAGGTTTAAGATTCATTAACTTTTTTTTTTATTAAATCAAGATACAATTTTATTAACTTTTTCTATTCATAGGGTAAGGGTAACTAGTACTACCCTACGTCAGTTGCTTCCACTTATTAGCTCTATTGTTTGCTAGAAAATTCTCTAAATTTCTAAATGTTCATTATGTTGTTCATAAATTCTTTTTCCACTTTTTCTTTCTGCTGCACAAGTTATCTTTTTCTAATTTTTATCGTGTTCAATCCAATATACTTAAAAACTGAGTGTATCAAATAAAAAAAAAGAGTGCATCAAATAAAACAATCGACTTACAATACCATCAAAATGACGTTCTTCTTATAATGAGACGATAGCTGCAGACTTTATCAGAAAGAAGAGGAACACAGAACAGCAGAACACATTCTGTGTCACTGTGATTGTCTTGCCAGATACAGACTTCGGTTCTTATCAACTGCCTATCCACTTATAACGGAAATAGACAACATCTACCCAAGGGCCATAGTGACATTTTTAGCTGCTACGTGTCTATGAAACTAAAGTTGGCTTGTCACAATAATCCTTAAAGGATGTAGTGACATAGTTCCTAGTCCTTTCAAAATTTATCTATCTATCTTTTATTGTACACAGAAATCGATGAAGATACTTCAATGAAATGGACTTTAAGCAAAGTGTCTAATTTACGAGGCCTTAATTTTCTTATTACAGTTTAATTACCAATGAATAATTTTTTTTGTGACAATAAAAAAAGTTTCATTTTATTTTAGAAAAAAAAATTAAGTTTAATTATTTTAATTTAGATGGTTGGTTCGTTAAGAAAATATGTATTGCATATTGTAACATATTGTGTATCCTGGAATTGGTCTCATCCAGCACCTTAACTGCATTTTATATTACGCAGTTCAACGTATCTTCCCTTTCTTACTTTACTTTCTTCTTCAATTATGACAATGCGTAAAGTCTCATTTTGAAGTCATATTCCGGACAAATTTTTGACGAGTCTTTCTTTAGATGTCTGTCTACAGATTATCATTCTAAAAATATTATATGCTTTTATAAGAAGTATTCTTTCATTTTTTTTAAAAATTATTTGAAAAGAAGAGTTTTGCTAAATCTAAGCGTAACTAAAGTTTGAGGTCGTAAACATACTTAGAATGGACTAGGTATTTACAAACACATTTGCAATCTCTGTTAAGTGCAAGAAAGTCAGAAGTTCACCAATGGCCTCGCCTATTTGTTGAGATACAAGTAAATTGCCATGAAGCTAAGTACAGTAAAAGATTAAGAAGATAAATATTTTCTTTTGAAAATAAGTATTTATTTTCGTTAAAGATCGTAACCATTGAAAGCTAGCTGTACTTGCACTTAATGCCTTTTCTAAGCATACAAAAGAATAACAACCCTGTGCCCCATTAAAGGAGTTGTTCGTCTAGAAGAAGAAGAAGATTCAAAAAAATATTTGAGTGAAATTTTTTCATTATATTACATCTGTATTATTATATATAGCTCAAATCAGTGAAATATTATAATATAATTCAAAATAGTTTTTTTTGATTGTTTTTATTTAAATATGTTTTAATTTATTTGTCAAATTGTGTTTAAAAAAAAAGATCTGTGGAAGCCGTAAGTAAAAAGGAAAGTGCTTTGCGAAACATTAACAGAGTTTCTTCAGTTTCAGTTTTACTCAGCTGAGGAAGTATCTTCTTAAGCGTTTCGCAGCGGACAAAATATGACGTAGCCGCTGTCGTTAAAACCATAAAACAAGATTTCTTACTTACCCGTGCAGCTTAGCACGAATAATTTCACTCGGAGCCGCGCTCGCTGACAACAATTACCCGTGCTGCAATATTAGAAACTCTGAGCACATTTAATGGCTTGCAGCTGAAATTAGCAGTAATGAAATGGAAATTAGAAATATAAAAAATATAAAGAAATTGTTTAAATATTATTGTTTCACATTAAAGCGGCACAAGTCGTTGGCTGGCCAAAAGCCAAGCTTGCGACTAACCAATATCGATGGCTTGGACTGCGTGATGAGCTTCTTTGGCACGATTTTATTTGTATTTTGACTTTGGCTTGACCGATTATCTGAGACGCTCAAGTCAGTAAATTTTGAACTAAGCGCTCTGCCTCTTGTGTTTCTTCATATTTTTATATTTTGTTTATTTGTTGCTTTTTAATTGTTAAAATTAATGAATGTCCATTAGCTAATCTTTGGATGTATTTGAAAAGAGCTGTCAAAACAATTAGTATAATCATAAAACCCTAAACTACTGGTGATTTGTTAACTATATGACTCGGTCGGCATTAACTATAAGTGATTTCACTAAACATAGGGAGTGTAGCTGTCAGTAATAATCGTCATTAACAGTTATATCAAAGAGGTGAAAAATGGTGCAGCGATAACCTAATGAAGATTTAGAGACGATTTTCATAAATGGCATTAGATATATTGTTCACATGAGGCATGGAAATTACGCGAAGTAATCAGCTTTTCTCGAACATCATAAGATTTATCTTCAACCAATTTGACCAATGCAGAGTGTATATGTAAGTGTACTGCTCATACCTTATAAGGCTTGTGATACTCATTTCATTGTTATGACGTTTCTTATCTCTATCAAGAACACTGGTCAACTGATTTTAGAAAATAATCTGAAAAATCAATTGACTGCAATCATATTCGACGTAAGAGTAGTTATTCTAAGGAAAGCAAATCAAACAGTGCAAAACTTAACTGGGTTCAGTGAGTTAACACTGCACAATGTTGAATGTATTTACTTGGGTTTCAAAGTACAAGGAAAAAAATTAATTTAAATTGACTAGACCAAACTGAGCACTAATCTGTACAGCTTTATCACGACATTGGTATAATTCAGCGAATTAAGATCTAGCGATTTCGCTGGCTTGGTTCATGTCGTGAGAATGGATGAAGATGGTGCAGCGAAAAAGGTGTTTAAAGCAGTAGTTGGCGGAAGAAGACGTAGTGGTAGATCATATCTCCGATGGAGTAATCAAGTTGAGGAAGTTTAAAACATATTCAAAATAATTTTCTACGATAGGCTACTGAAATCTTAAATTTATTAAGAACAAAATATCTACTGATCTTAGTTAAGGTCGGAGTAGAAACCTTATGACTATGCTCACAGGCTATTGACAAGTAGCACGCATACCAAAAAGTTAATTATTCCCTT